CAAATTATGCTATATCCATCAAATTGCCACCTAAACCAAAATATGAGATTAAAAAGTACATTTTGACATAAAATAATTATACATGCGTATTAAATAAAGATGAAAAACTATGCATTTTACATTCATATCACCTCCTCATCATACTTAACCACCAATGTCTCCAGATCAGCCACAATTTCTTTGAACATAGTTAAGTGATCGTCCAATTACGCACCTTTATACATCTGGTGAGAATACAAACGATGTTTGAAGTGTAGCTTGCTGGTCAAGTTCTTTGTCATGCAAAGTCGCTCTAACTTCAACCACAACGCAGTGACACTATTCTCCTTAAGAACATCATGAAGAATTTCATACAATGCAGCTGCATCCTATCAAAGCCAAGCAAGGCTTCTTCCAAATCCATCTGCGCCAACACCGCTCTCATCTTCACTTGTCATAATGTAAATCTCGTATTTCTATCCAACAACGAAATGTCATACTTCATTGTCACCATACGGAAGAATCAACATCGCACTTTGATACCACTTGTTATGAAACGGATCGCAAGATAATGACGATAATGAAATAAAGAAGAAGAGTACAAGAATTTACGTGGAAACCCAATTCGGAAAAAAACCATGAGCAGAGGAGAACAATCCACTATAATCAATAGTATTGTATTTACAATATCAAGATTTCAATAATCTCAATTGGAATCTAAACTCTCAATCTCTCAATATGTTGTTGAAGATGTAAAGAATAAGATACGAATAATATATTATGGAAATACAATATGGCTATATATATATAACCTCTTATTGGAGTCCTTATGGAGATACAATGTGAAAATATACATAAACCCTCTTATTGGAGTCCAAGATGGAGAAGAAGTCCCAAAATTTGGATAAATCGATAAAACTGCGATCAGGTTACTGTTGCATCGTCTAGGCGCTACTGTTACGGTGCTTGGGCGCTAGGTACAACGCCTGGGCACTACTCCTGGCGCTCAGGTGCTATGTGCCTAGCGCTTGGGTGTTAGGTCTCGGGTAAACATTCCAAAACATGCTTTTTGCCATCTAGAGTCCCTTTTCAAGTTGAACTCCTGAGTATTATGAAAATTTAATCTTCACAGCTTAAGACTCTTCAAACCCAAGTACCTTAGACTTCTTTCAATTAACCAAATCCCAAGTCACCTGAAATCCAATAAACCAAATACCAAATCACATGGAATTTGAATCACACCACAACATTTTTAATGTTGGATTGCAGGTATTCACGATAGATTCCCCTCTAGTATCAGATGTGTCAAGGGCAAAAATCTTGGTTTTAGTAGTTTTTGGGGTCTTTTCCTCGTTGTTGGGATTGCTTCAATGTTGGCACTTAATGTATCTTTGGGCTTGTTCCTTTTTGAGAAAAGAAACCCTTGATAAATTACTTCTTAAACCAGTCCCAAGTAGTCGCCACCAATGACAATAATACTGAACTTTCTTACAGGAGCATGGAAGCCATGAAGGTGGCACTGTTATTTCAAGATCAGGCTCAAGTAATCTTGCCCATATAAGGAAGGGCAGAGTCTGCCGCCAGATCAGAAACATATTTCATCATCTGAAGATGAATCTTTTAGAAAATATAGAAAGCTGAATAGCCTTTGAGTGAGGTGCATGAGATGAGACTAACTGAGTTTTATTGCCATTTGAATGGTGATAGCTTTATTGAAAATGTACATTTGATCTAATTTATTATTGATTCTTTCGCATTCTTTTCACTTGATACTTGGAGTTGAAATTTCAATTTTAATTTGTGTCGGTTTATTTTTGTCGATTTAAAATTTACTGTCGCTTTCAGATTTAACCAGATTTTGTGTCAAGCTATTGTTGTAAAGAACAAGCCTCCTTAATTCTAAAAGCATCACCATTACAACTGTGGATTGCTTAAAAGTTGTGCCACGTATGCAATAATAAATCACGTCTAAAAATTTTCTCTCCAATGCAAGTTGATAGGTACTCCGTCAAGTTGATATGACACATAAAATAGACAATGTCTAGAGCTCTGTCCAGATTTAGAAGCTTTGTTGGATGAAGCGACTCAACAATATTAATATTTCCTCTCCACATTAATATTTTTCAACCAAATACAAATGTGATTTTCTATTTTAAGAAAATAAAAGACACAGTTTTCATTCATATGCTCAAGAACCGTACTGCTCTGTTTTGGTGGTAATAGCATGTTGCTCTCAAATGACTGCATGGTTATTGTTTATTTCTAGTTGATCAACAATGGAAGCCTGAAATTTTGACTGCAAAAGGGAGAAAAACCTAAAAAGATGTTTAGGTTGTAATTTATTTACTTCTGTACTTCTCAGGTTTAATCGGGATGTTTCACATGTTATCTGATTACCACCAAGTTTTTTCGAAGGAATCGGGATTTCTTTTATCGCGCTTTTCCTCTCTTGATACTGATTTCGATATGATGTTAGCAATGTTGATATACAGCTCTAACACTACTCTTCCACTGCCCACTGCCTTGGAAATATTTTGATTACTCGATTTTGCAGGTTTAAAATTCCATTTCCCTTAAATTATAAATACATTTCTTTATGTTGAGTTTGGATATCTGCAGATACTAGGATAACTGCAAAACGAATTTAACTAGGTTCTAAAATGTAGCGAAAAGTGATCTCAGCTTCGGAAATGTTAACAACGGCGAATTAGTATATCAAGAAGCTGAAAGAAATCATAAAGCATAAATATCTTATTCATAATATTTAAAATTATGCTAAGAAAAGAGGAGTAACGAGTTTCACTTACAAATATACACCAAGTCAATGAATTTCATTTGTGGATCTATTCTTGCTGCCATTTGCAAATCTTGATTCGGATTCACAAGCTCAATTTCTGGATTAATCACATGAGCTGCTTCTGATTGCGAATTTATCATCACATTCTCTGCTGTATTCATTTGATCTCGTGGAGAATCTAAATATTGCTCTGTGCCATTTGAGAAAGTTGGACTTGGTGGATTGGTGTGTGGAGAAGTATTCGATGAAAAATTTTGTGGAGTTTGTGGGCAATTACCATGGGATGAGACTTTCTCTCTTCTCTCCATGCAGTCACCATCCCAGATGTTTCTTTCTCTAAGTCCAGTGTTTCTGAAAGTATGAGAACTGAGATCTTTATTGTCAAAACGTCGAAATAACTCTAGAAGTTTGCTCCGCATTGAGGAATTGGGATCAGAGTGTCGTAAAACATTCCAGTGTTCACGTAGAAACATAATGATATAGATTATAAGAGCTGAAACTGCAGCTATTCCAGCTATTAAAAAAAGTCCCCAAAAGCACTCAAGTCCAATGCTGTTGGATGAAAGTGATGTGCTAGAATCTGGGCATTTAGTTTTTTCACCAAACCATGTTCTTTCGATTTCCACCATCTTTTCGCTTTCTGTCACATTTAATATTGCTCTTGAGACATCAGGTACTAGAGGTGACCCTATTGGGAAAACCTGAAAGTAAAAAATATATAAATAAATAACACAGCGCAATGAAATGTACCCCTTTTTTGTTTCCTGGGGTGGAGGGGAGATAGATAGACAGAGAGGGGGATACAGACAAAGCCAAAGCCACCAGTCTTGTATGTTGGGTCAACCATGGTGTATTTTGAGCAGTATTTTGCTAGGAAAAGCTTCATATATGGGATCTCATCGAAAGCCGCAGAAATGCCTCCATTTCCACTTCCTTTCAAGAAAAGTTCATCACATTCCTCTAGAGAACTGTATTGTTTAAGTCTAGACTCATCAAAATTCATTCCCTTTAGAAGTCCAAAAACAAACGAACCCCGTTGGTATCCCACACATTCTTTGTTCTTAAGAAGTTGATTTATATCCTTAACAGTTGGCTGGAGTTGTTGAACAGTCAACATTGATGTAAGACTTGCAGTGTAACTTTGAGTTAGTATAAGAACTACCAAGAACCATATGATCAGCACGAATCTTGCCAAGTTGCTTGTTATCTTCTCCTCTACAAATAATTATGTTAAATCATCAGTATCAGAACTAATGTATAATCCGGTTCAACAATAAATTATGTGATGTTGCCACTTGCCACTATCAGAATAACCTGTTTGGTTGGGATTAAAATCAAATTTTTAATAAATTTTGATTAAAGTTGATGAAATGTGTGATTGAATTGATTGTTGACTTTGAGTTAATTTAAATTTTGAATTTTAATGACTTCCAAACATGGGCACCTTGAAGCAAATCTGCCTGGAAGTGTTTATGAAATTTCCTTATTTGGCCCCTTAATTTCATATTTTTTTTAAAAGCTTATTTCTTTAACTGTTCTGCTTTCACATTGTAAGTTAAGGGAGTACTGAGAACTTACTATGAGCAAAGACCATGGTTGAGAAGGCAAACCAGAATATCATGCCAACTTGATGTAAAGGTGGTCCCCTGAAATCATCATTTATTCGATGCTCAAGAAGCCAAATCAAAAATCCAATGAACACAAATGAAAAAAAGCTTGTCAACCAAAGTTCCCATGACAATGGCTTCAAAAATACCCAAGCACTTTTCCTCTTGTTATCCTTGATTGGCACCACCAGTGCAATAATAGATTCTGTGTACGGGAGAGTAAAATCCACATACTGAGACCTATTCGCCACAATAGTTACATCTCCTACTACAACTTCATAGTTCTGTTCATTGATCAGGAAAAGATTAGCATTACATTATATGCATAGATTCTAAATAAGACATGCGACGTATTGTTGTGCAGAAAATGTGTGATATATTAGTTGCAAAACATTTTTTTTTCTGGTAAAAGGCATGCAGTTAAGAGACTTACTCCGAAGTATACTTGATCGACCAAATCATTATAATTACCAGCACTTTTCTGGTCAGATGTTGCAAATGGAACATATTCATATGGTACGCCATATGGCAATGCTGCCATTACTGCATCAAAGACATCCTTGCAGTAGCCTTTCACTTCTGTGGAGTCAGTGACAGAATCCCATGTAACTTGAAGGAATTCATTGAAACCGTCCTTCACCGGAACTCCTACTCTTAGTTTCTTTCCTTTCGTGGGGATGACCCAACCCTTGGGCGGTGATGTCTTGTCACCAGGCCATATAATAGATCCAAAGTTGTTCTTGCTAGTGGAATATGTTTTTGTGTTTGAGGAATTCAGTTCTCTAACAATTCCAGTTTCTTTTGTCCAGTATCCTACCGGTCTAGCCCAATGGCCAACCAGATTAACTATCTCATAAGGAGATGACTGGAGTTGGCCATCAAGCAATTGAAAGTTTCCAGCCAGGCCTTTGAACGTGGTATTTGATAATGCTTTGAGGAGCTGTGGACCATCTTTAGAGATTCCAAACTTTTCAAGGTCCGTTGCACTTGTAGACATGTTAGACATTTGAAACTTAGAATTTGTAAGTCTTGCCTTCTCTACGGACATGGCTAGTGCTATTGCAGAATCATAAGCCCAGAGTCCGAAAATGTTTAGTTCAGAATCAAGAGTCGGATTGTTTTGTTTCCATCGAGTAGTGAACTTACGAAGCTCTTTTGTTTTTGGAACATAAGGTTTTACACCTATTACCCCTAGCATAGACTCTATGACAGAAGGATCCATTGAGCTCAATTCATTTGTGATCCCATTAGTTATGATCCATGCATATTCTTCACTCATCATTCCGAGTTGTTTTGCTTTGGTGAACAACCGGGAACCAAGAGAGGTCAGCGTGTGGACAATGAAAACCCGAGTTTGCATCGTCATCAGCTTGTAAAGCTCTGCAACAAGTTGATCGTCTGTGGCCATGGAAGGGATGACACTTCTGTAAGGGACACGAGCATTGACCTTTTCCAGTGCATCTGTCAGAAAAGGTATAATCCCTTCTCCATACTCATTATCAACATAGATGGGCACTACTTCTCTCCATCCAAAAGCTTGAATAGTAGCACTAATGACATTTACTTGAGATGAATCGTTTTGAGTAGATCGAATGAAGTATGGAGTTCGAATTGATGAAAGAGAAGGACTCGTTGCTGAAAATGAGATAATGGGAACTTGAGCTTTCTTTCCAAGATCAATCAGGAAGTTTGCTTGCATTGAGTAAGGGGGTCCTATTATGGCATTCACTTCCACATTCTTCAGTAGGTCTAGAGCTGCAATTCAGTGAGTAACAAAATTAACTTTAATGACAAATTTCAATAAGATTAGTCAGGATTTCTTTAAGATTATAGGGAAAGTAGAAATAAAGTGATATCACCTTTGAAAAGTCTTTTATTCCGTCAATAGTTTATGAATAATGCGTTTGATTTTATTTGTGTCTCAGACGTTGGTGAATCGAGTATTTTATGTCGGAAAGTGAGTCAAGTGTACAAGAGTTTTCTTTGCAGATTCTTTACATGTGTTACGTTGGCAGCACCCGAATGATAATTTTCCATTTTTTTTTTTTTGGCCAAATGTGAATCAAAACTTGACAAGTGCATCTGTAAGAATTCTGGCAAAAAATCTTGTACGTGTAGCTAATAAACTGTTTTATGTTAAGAATACGATAAACCTTAATCTTATAGTAAGCTGAAAAGTGTTTTAGGAAAAGCTAAATCTTCCAATGTGGATCTATGAGGTTAGCACATGATCACTCGAGCTATGGTCAAGCTTTTATGAAGTCCGATAAAGATACGGATTACGAGGGTGACCATGAACAAACAAAATATTGCACACGACCCATTATAATGATGAACGTGAATCACAAGAGATTTAAAATAAGCTTCTTTTATTCTCTAGATTTCAATCTTCTTGAATGTTCACGTTTGTACTGTACTTTAATTCCTTGGTGTCAGCTCGAATGATGTCCTCTTTAGCTTGCACTAGTGGAAAAATTCATCTGTAGTGACCAATCTGATTATTTATTTCAAACTTCAATTGACCTTCATAATATTTGGAGTCTTGTTTGTTTGGGCGAGATTATTTGAAGTGAAAAATATTTTTTTTGGAGAACGAGTTGTTAAAAGAATAATGTAAAATTATTGATCCACACGCCAAATTATTTTATTGGGAGAATTAGTGGTTAAAAATGAATTTTAGATGATGAAAGCAGCAATATAGTGTTAGAAAATAGCTTTTTTAAGGAAGTTGTATTCATCAATGGAAATTCAAAATTCTGTTTTCAGTGGCTTAAGCAAATTGTCATGTAAAATAAGTATTTTCTTATTTTGTCAGCAGCATATATATTTTTTGGTGGGTTATGCAGCACCAAGCATATAGAAACACAACAAACATAAGAATAAGCCTAAAAACAGATTACACTAGGAATTTTTTATCTAGTTTGTTGGAGCCTAAAAACATTAGGAAAGAAGTTGATGACAAAATGACTAATTTTTTGGACCTAATTAACATCAGATTTATAAATGATCAAACTTCATTTTCAATCACACATTTCAATGAACCCACAAATATTATCCATTTATATCTATTTATAAGTTATTCCCAAGCAGATAGTAAAATATTTAAAACCTATCACCTCATGACTTCCATTCTCCTAAGTTGTCCAATTGGTACCAGAATTCAACTTAACTCTCTCATATGATGGAGGTCTTAGGTTCGAATCTTGAGGGACGCATCAAAAAGTCGTGAGGGATAAGATGGGTTTAGCTCTTCCAAAGCGGACAGTACGTATGATATGATAACGGCTTCGACGCGAGGTTGGGTCATTACAAAAAATCAAAAAGCAAGAAAAATATTTATATAAAAGTCATTTGTGTGAATCCATATTATCTCACATGATCATCATCAAGAAACAAATGTGTATGTAAGTAGAAACATACACACACACACGCACACGTATGTATGTATGTACCTGCTGCTGCAGCCCCAACATCATCTTCCTTGGCGTCCCTGGTGTGGAGAACCAGCCGGGTTTTATAGTGAGAATTTGAGGCATAAAAGTCTGAGAGCGCCATTGAAATACAGCTGAATCCCATTGTACTAAAAGAATTGTTCATGTTTAGTACCACTCCCACGTCCACGTTTATGAGAACTGTTCGACTCTGCGCCATGGCCATGTGTGCAGTCAAAATGTTCAAGGACAGAGAAAAGAAGAAGTAGAAAGAGAAAATGAGTTGGGTTGAAGAGTTCTTCTCCATTTTTTCAGCTTTAAGGTTGACACTATGGGTTTGAGCATAATACAGTTCTATTTGTACTGCAGGATTAGAATGTTGTGGGAATATATTGGAACAGGCGACGTGCGTTGCAGGCAAAGTGTAATAAATGAATTTAATATGAGAATTTTCTGACTTTCCTTTCCTTATATTATGGGACAATGAAATTTGGATTTAATTTTTGTTTTTTTTTAAATGACTTCTTTATATGTCAGATATACAAATTAACCATATTAAAAATAACTTTCTCTCATCTTTTACAAGTCTATCGAAGTTAAAAGTTGCATGTTTACACTTTATAAGCACTAACAGATTTAAGCAAATTTACACTTTTTCGACTCACACTTCAATACTCCATAATTAACAAGTTCGTTTGGTGTGCAAATATATATTAAACTTCTAATGAGCATCCGCAGTGAAGACATATTCAATCACTTGGAGTGAAAATTTTGTTTCATAGAAAGGGAGAGTAAATATTAATTATAATTCAATGCATCTTGAGCGTTTACCCAAACAATTCACATATTATTTAATTGAAATATTATCAAGTGGTTAGCCTCTGTTTGAGCCACATTAAAATTTTCATTATCATTTTTCTACTCATTTTCAACCACACATTTTTCAATAAAATAATATTTTTCATCACATCAATAATTTTTCCTTCTTTTTCAACCATACATTATCCATCAATCTACTATTCTAAAATACATTCTTCCAAAATAATGTGGCTCAAACACATCCAGTAAACTTTTTATAGAAGAATTTTTGGGGTTGGGGAGGTAAAAGTTTTGTCTTCATCTAAGTGAAGATAGCATTTCTTTTCTACATTTTCATGGAGGATGAATCGAAATACAGTTGCTACGCCAAAACTAGGTGCAAAAGTAAAAGATTTTGGAGAATAATATATTTTTAGAGTCTGATTTATTAACTTTTAATTATGCGTAAATGAAGATAACTACTTGATAATATTTCAATTAAATAATATAGACGGAGAAAAAAAAGAATAAACTATAACATTATATTAGACCAAAATGAAATTTGAAAGTAATTTTTACTTTTTCTTTAGACTTATCATGCTGAATTTTTTGAAGTTGATGTTGATTGTAGTTTGATATGTTCAAGCACGCATGTGCATATACAGTTCTTGTTTTGCCCTTATTTTTTAAACTTCATTTTTAGCCGTACATCACGAGACTCGCAATTCTTATCAATTTTTCAATTACATTCATCAACTTTTATCAAAATCTACTAAAAACATAATTCTTATTCAAATCAAACACGGAGCATTATCAACTTTTATCAAAATCTACTAAAAACATAATTCTTATTCTAATCAAACACGGAGCATGATATACAGAGAGAGAGGAGAGAGGAATTTATAAGTTGACTTGGAAAGGTTATAGAGATGGAGTTGAGGTTCCGAGGAAGAGTAGGGGACTTAGGAGAATAAGATGGTGTTTGGTGGAGATTGAATTTAGATTTTTAGTAGATTGTGATAGAAATTTTTGAAATGTGATTGAAAAGTCGTGGAACCCGTGAAAGATGTGGTTAATATAGATTTGTTTGACTTTGACTTGGATTAAAATCAAATTTTAATCTGAACCAAACATGGGCTAAAATTATATTAGTCATGACTTCATGAAAAATATTTTTTAGCTGTGAGGCTCCAATATTAAATGATGTTGTCCAGGTTAACATTGAATTATTATATAGTTGCATAATACAACACGGTATTTTAGTTTTACCTTCTTTGGCCCTTTTCTATATTAAAGACTAAAAAATAGATAATTTTAGGTTTTCGTACAAGAAAATGTCACGCGGTACCATAGACTATTACTATCAAAATGCATGAAATATTGAGGTTATTATTTATTTTATTTTTTTGTCCCCTTCTTTGTAAACATAACTTTCATATGGAATATGATATCGGTGCATATTCAAATCCTAAATTCATGTAATATCGTTCATACGCTTTGATTTGCACGGATATTGCTTGCGATGTACACAAATAAAAACAACCTAAAAATTGAGAAGTTTTCATTCTACCCTCTGAAAATACATAATATAAATATGTCTAGTTTGACTGCTTCTTTCCTTAATGTCCATTATTTGAAAATTGAAGTTATGTTTTCTTTTCTTTAATCCTACATTTCTTTTTTTTAATATATAATCTTTTATGATATTATTAAAGTCACTAGTATACATAACGTTTCAAAAAGATTACTTGGGAATTGGTCGGTGACCTTTTACTCGGTAGTGTTGACAAAATTCAAATGATATAAGAAATGAATAGAAAGAGTTTAATATTGGAGCCTCGCCACGTAAAAATACTCGTCATGAAGTCATG